GAAGACAAATGGAAACAATTAATAAGCTTCTTGCTGAGCTCACATTGCCCGGGGAAGACTGATGAGTAGCACAAAAGTCACAGCATTGACATCAAAGCAATGTTTGCGTGTGATGAATCTTTCAACACAGCAACGCTAAAACACTGAAACCGGAATCCCGGAATCCTGAATCCACAAATCAAAGAAAACAAGACTCTTCAAGTACGCGAAAATTACGTTGCATAGATTTTGCCCGTAAAAAAAGGCCAATAAAAAGGACCTCAAACTACACCTGTTTTAAAACATGGATTCTTCGTCTGTCGAAATTCGTGCACCGTTATTTCTATTGAGAATCTTAACTAACGTGCGTCATAATTTGATTCTAAGCACCCTGAGAGCAGCTTAAGTAGGCTTGCTGGTAAGTGCCATTTTGTTTAAGTCTCGGCTACAATTTGCCTGAGGTATGTTTAGCAGATACTGAACAAGTTAGCAATGTTGTAGAGCACCGGGTCTCCGTCAGTTGCGGCAAGCTGTACCTCGACGGTCGCGCGTCTCACTGTCGATATGAAAAGGTTAACTTGGCTCGTCTAAATAAGTTTGTCGTTCCCAACATACGAGATTAATACCACAACAGCACTATTTGCACACTGATACTGTTGTAAATAACCACCAGTTATTCTTATCCACCGTCATATTAAATAATTTCTTGAAATGGTTTCACACTTATGTCCGTCTTCTCCTCGTTTGCGAAAGGATCGGACCACATACTGTCAATACTGTGAGAATAGGGTTTTTGCTATAGTGCTACTCACCAGTCTTCTCAAAGCAGTTTGATCTATACAAGAACCGCGCACCCGCCGAGTCCAGGTTCAACGAAGGATGGGTAACTCAATCCACCCGAAAACTCACTAACCCTGATTGAGTAGCGGTTTACCCTATAATAGGTATAGGAGATCCGCCTTTTGAACAACTTGGCCAGATGAATAGCTAGAGGTTGTTTAAAACTAGTCATGTTTTTTTTACAATTACAGTTTCTGGTTGAAGCTGAAAGCAAAG